ACCGCCGGCAGTTCCGAGGAGGAACATCTATTAAAAGTTCATTTTAAGCATGTTTAAAGTTAACTTTTAGTAGAAATATGTCCCAAAAAGGAAAGCAGAATCACCTTTCGCTTCATATTTAGCCGATGAGGAAGCCAGTGATAGAAGACAGGTGTAATTAATCTTGGGAATACAGGGGAAAATCTGGAGAAATTATGAACTTTTCATTGAGCAGCCGAAGACCAACAAAATTCATTGGACGTCAGAAAAAGCAAAACAAATCGACTCAAATCACAATCTGGATCTTTAACTGATAACCAGAACTGGAGATCAAATGGCTGTTGAAGACGAGGAACGAAGGTTCAAATTGTACAAAAGCGGACAATTTTCAACTTGAGCAAACTGAAGCAAGTAAGCTTAGATTAGGATTACAAAGTTTTACATGCCAACTGATATCAAATTCCGATAAACGAGTAGTGGTCGCGCGGGCTTGGTAACAAACTAAAAATAGCTCTTTTTCTAAAAATAGAACGAAGGGCTGATATGATGGGTAACAGGGATTCCTTCTCTTACCTCATTTTCTCTTGTTGTGATCTGTCACATTTTTTTAGATGAAGAACTCATTATAAGAATAGATTATTTTATGTTCACTGTGTCATGCTTCTTGATCTTTTCGTCGGTAAAGAGACCATAAATGGCGATTCTTTMATGTATGAGCTTTTTCTCTTATTTTTTATACCTTTTCAATATCTTTAGACATTTGAATATAATAKTTAATGGTGCCATTGAACCTTTGTTACAAAATAGTTTTTGTAAAAGCGAAAATTTCTTCACTTGTACAAATATAAAATTCAATCTAAAAAAACCTGACGGCGACCGGCGGCTCTCCACAACTCGGCATCTCAATAAGCGCGCGGGGAATGGCGGGAAAATCTAAAAATAGCACCAAGAGGGGTAAATACCATTTCACAAGCCCATGGGAAGAGGAAGGCTCCTAGTAATGGGCTCCTGGTAAGCAACTGACCAAGCATTCAGTAACTATACAGAAAAAGCAACTTGAGAATTTAACCACGTAACACTTTACCATCTAACACGACAAGCCGAATCCGTATCGATATGCGTAAGAATGTTAGTATAGTACGCGTCTTTGTAGTATTTTTACGGGATACGTTAATATTGGTAATTTACCAAAAGACATTGTTTGAGGATATTGAAATCTCACTGCAAAATATAGCGCAAAAATTTCGTAACTTTTCTCTAGATTGGTCAAGAAGATAACCCAGTGTAATGTACTCAACAAATAAAACAACAAACCAACAAAACATCTCACCTCCAGCAGGTCTCTGTAGCAAGTTCTTAATGTMATCGATAGCGGAGAGAGAAAAACCATAAACAAAATGCACCGTACTCATTCCCGTGATCCTTAGCGCAAAACCTTCATCGCTGCTCACAGTGACATCCCATAAACCAGGTTTGGGTTCACTTGCAGCTACACTAACCGCTGACTTTAAAGTGAGAAGTTTTTGAAGACCCGATGCTGTGGTAATGACTTTTCCGCTAGGATCCTTGATGACGAGTTTGGCGCCTTTGCCACTCAATGAAAAAGTAACTTTATCAAGTGCTTTGTCTATTGGAATAGAAAAKGATCTAGCGCCGCCATTTGGGATGTCAACTGAGAGAAGAGTTACTTTGTTCGCTCTGACGAACTCTTCGGCAAACCGCAGTACTTGGTTTACGTCCTTTTTCCTTAAATTAAAGACTTGACCAGTGCTTGCTGCTGCAATAAGTTTATATGTAGAAAAGCCTGGATCTGTTGTCTCATTATGACAATCGCCAGTCAGTACAAAATGAACCTGGTGGTAAAACAAATCACAAGAAAAAAAATATCAACTGAGTACAGGTGCCTAAACAACAACGATGTATTCAAATTTATCTTTGGTGGTTGTTAGTCACTTCACCGAAGAATGGTCTGCACCCTAACCCCCTTTTTCATGTTTTCATGTCCTGTCTACAGAAAAGTTATGTGTAAATTGGTCATAATTTGAATAACCAATTTGCATAGGACAAGCTTGTTTCCAAAGAGTCTCAGTCCCCGTTACTCTGATAAGTCCAAAACTGAGTTGTTTGATTAGTGATTATGTCATATACATTGCCTATATAACTTGATTGAACCAACAGCGAGATGCTACTAAATTCAAGGACCCATTAACCATTCCATTTATTTACCTGACTTTGTTTAAGCTGTACAAGCTGTAGCACCTTCTCCGAAAGGTACATATCTTTTGCCTGGGCATCAGTAAATACATAGATATATGACCCTGGTAAACTAATTTCTAGAGCAAGTAAAATAGCACTTAACGACATCTCCGGACAGTCACCACCYCCTTGCACATAAAGGTCATCTAGTTGACGTTGGAAGACTGTGGTGTTAGTGGTGATGGTCGCAGGGCCAACATCTAAAAACAATCAGATCAATAACACGTTTAAAGTTTCAAACAGTTGAAAAACCGACTTATCAATCCAAGAAATGATTTAAGGACTTTTCAAATGTGCAATCAAATTTATATAGCTATTTCGTATTTAATGTATCGAATTAGCTTTTGCGAAAAGAGCAGGGGAATGTAAATAATAAGACACAATACTTATTTACAAGTGGAGGCAAGGAGAAAGAAGAAGAGGTGTGGGGTTGTCAACATAAGAAGAGACCCCAATCAAGGGCTCCCTGAAGTCAGACATGTTCATCATCGTCATCATCATCACCACTTTATCTAACAGTCCACTGATTCAGCAGCAGTTTGGTTACAAAGGATTCTATCCAACAGCAGCGTTGACTGTTATATTTTTCCTCGGAATTTGGATTACAGATAGTCACGTAAAAAAGGAGCGGATGTAACATACATTCAGACAGAATATTTTATTTGGTGATTTGTAGCACCCTTTGCCATTGTCCAAACAATTTCAACAATTATGGTAAATAGAGAATATTACATGGGCMCGCGGTGATACGGATTTTATAAATTTATACTTCCTTCATTTTTGGTTTTGAAAATGGTTTAGTTAGCATTCCTAAACAAAAATATTTGCTTATAACCTTTTTTCTTTTTTGTTATAATAATATTCTGAAGATGAAAACAAAATTCCTAACTTGCATAATTTGCGCAAAAAACGTCTTAAATTCAGTTGATTCCCCCAGAGTCTTTCCGTCGTCAGTTTACCGCTGACATTAGCCGTGAAGATTCTGGGCTCGAGACTGCCTCATACCATTAACCATTTATAATGGATTGTCATATTTTTAGCCCTCATTTTTGTGCCTTCATACTTTCCAAAATACTCTGTCATATYACTCATACTCATTCATATTACGCACCTAACTGTGCGAACGGAATTTGATGAATGTTATTTTTAGAGCGCGTAAATCATTCACTATACGTAGGGGAGTGTCAGTCATAGGTCGATTATGGGAGGAGAAAAAGGGCGAATGTCCATGAGTTTTGAAATTATTAAAGGCGACAACATGCATAGTGGTGGTGCTTGGATCTTTTGATTAATCTCCTCTTTTTCTTTCTTTTATTTTTCATTGACATAASGCCAGCGGATGATTTTCATGCGGTCTATGTAGAACACTTATCAAAAGTCATTGATGTTACTGTTCATAAACTGAATGCTTTTTGATAAATAAACCCACATAATAGATAAGTGAACTACACGCAATAATATTCGTATAGCGGTTTGTTTCTTTTGAGTCTAGCTATAGCTTTATATCGCATTAATTGGATGACAAGAGAAATGTTGTGCCGGCATGATMTATTGGCGATCCTTTTGGCTGAATAAACAAGTTGTAGAACTACACGGTGATAGACCGAACCTTTACGTAAACAATCTAAGCTTCGGGGTAGTACAAATCAAAATGACATAATAACAGAAGAAATTAAACCTCTGAACCCTTAAAAGTAAAAATGACAAACATAGTGAATGTTAACAACAGAATACTAGATCACTTTCAAAATTCTATACATAGCGTGATATATGAATAAATACAAAAGAAAACAAGAAAACATATAGTATATATTTCACGGATTTTKCGTCTTTTCTATTCGAACAATAACACCGACTAAGTCATGGTGTGAAGTTGTGAGATATATACCAACACTCTTTAGCAAACACTTATGTATGACATTTTTTTCCGCATTACGATTACATAATTTGATTATTATGTTTCTTTTTTACAGGTTTTTATAGATAATAGCATGTTTTGTGGTGGAATTTGGGATAAATACCACGTGTGGTATTTCAAAATTGTCAAACAAAGCAAAGCGAGTCAAATTTGTGATAATTTTGAAATATCACATGTGGTATTTATCCCCGGGGGGGGGGGGTACTCGACCCCGTTTTGGATAGGTACGTGCCGCCAGCGGTCTAAAACCCTGACCCTGTTTAAGACACTAGAAAGTAAAAATCCATACCCTGTTCAAGACAAATCGGAAAAATAAGGAATCGGTATCTATGCCGCAACCATCAAAACTGTAGTTATACTGACAACACGTTAATCCTGTTACAGTGAAACGTTATTTCTACTATTTCTACGGTATTTCTTACGAAAATATTACCCTGTCCAAGACACACAGAAACCATACCCTGGCCAGCGGCACGTCCCCGTATAGCAAATATATGGGAGTACCCCTCCCCCCCCGGGTATTTATCCCAAATTACACGTACAAAACATGCTATTATTTGTTTATAAAATAGTTGAATAAAATTGAGGAATTTGAAATACCACTATTAAGGATAAAACTTGCTTAAATTCCGTATGGGAGTGAAGGAAATTATGCAAGAAATTGCTTGCTTAAATTACGTATGCAAGTCAAAGAATTTATGCGAAAAATAGTTGCTTAAATTCCGTATGGGAGTGAAGGAATTTATGCAAGAAATTGCTTGCTTAAATTACGTATGCAAGTCAAAGAATTTATGCGAAAAATAGTTGATTAAATTCCGTATGGAAGCGAAGGAATTTATGCGAGAAAATAGTTGCTTAAATTCCGTAYGGRAGTGAAGSAATTTATGCGAGWAATTAGTTGCTTAAATTCTGTTATGAAATCATGTATTATTTTAAAATAAATATTTAATAAATAAAACACATAATGAATAAATTGCATAAAATTTTCCRTKATATAGAAACTTTTATTTGCATAATATGCTAATATATATATTCCCGATAAATGCCACTCCTCTAAACCAATCAAATTGCACAATTTTATTCAGCCATATTATAAATGGTGAAATCACGGTAAAAACAAACAAACAAACAAACAAACAAAAATCGTGAAATAGATGTTAGGGCAATGCACTACATACAACTAATACTACGGCTCATTTATTTATATATTTACACTTGACTATTACATTTTGTTTCACGGATTTAAGGTGGAAATACCACAGCAGATCACTTGGCAGTGCATCTGAGTATCTTTATTAATTCAGTAATTATATTTTGTGTCTTATCCACCATTGCACTTTAATTATTTAATTTTGTTTCACGGGTTTACCCTGAAGTCAGCCGACGGTGTGTAAGTTAAAGAAAGAGGTGCATACCGTAAAAACAGATAAACTTACAGTTGTTTTGAGTAAGTCGTTGGTAACAAGAATCACGTGATAAGTAAAATTCAGTGAAAAGAATGTTATTGCAGAATGTAAAAAGTACTTCAGATAATTGCTGTGTGGCATATTAAAAAGATAAATATTCAATGTCATTTAGAATCGTTATTGCTTGATATAATAGCCTTGTTGATTAACCAAAAGAGGATGGCTGTGATTTGTCTATTGCCTGCCATATTTTGCTCTTGTGGGAGGGGAGGGGTAACTTTCTGAAAGCTGATTGCCGTCTTTTAGCCTCCTTTTAGCAGCCGCCTTTGAGATAAAGTTAGAAATGCTATAGAATCAAATTACTGATATCAAGGTTCTATTGCCACCAAAGAAATTTCTTTCAAGCATTCTTAGAAACTTCTTTGTTTTGATTTATAATTAAATTATTACTGAAATAGAAATATCAAAAAACAACCAAATCAAGTAAGCAAGAGGGTAATGAACTCTTAGATAAAAAAAGGTAATACGAATTGCGCACACGTTACATATGTCATGACATAAGAGTTTACAAGGCAATATTCATTATTTAAATTTCGTGTGGAGATCATATTAATAGCGCTTTACTCGTGACATAGAGCCATCAATAAATACTCGCGCTCTGTAAGCTCTCCTAACTATTCCAACTTATACCGATATATAGAAGTTTGTACCACTACACTTGATTAGGTATGGCAGCTCAGCTTTTCATTGTATTGAATTAATTCGATCCTATATAATTTTTTAAAATATCTCCTAAAAATATTTTTAATTAAGATTGAGAGCGCTTCTTTATGCGAGAGAAATGATTAAACTATTGTTAAACCTACCAGGGTCGTGGAAGGGAACAATTGCATAGTTATACAAAGGCTTTACACGTTGTTTCAAGCTCTCCGACAGGATCTTAGAAGCGCCAGCACGAACTTGAACTAAATCGTCATACATACTTCCAGTTGTATCAAATACAAATGCCAATGTAGCAGATCCCTCGGGAATGCCGCTTTCACCAGCAGCTCGAGAAACTTCCCCAAAGAATAAAGATAACAGGCTAAGCAATACTGTTCCACAAAACATAGTGATGATAAATGTGGAAGACGAGAGGCCCTAACTGCGTCAATGTTTGACCGATATGAAGATACTTCAGTTGGTGAAGAAATCCGGATCAAACTTGGAAGGTTTTAAAGGAAATCCTTTGAATCACGCTCTCAATGAGCTGTGCTGGAAATCCTCCAAAAGAAAGAAGCAGTCTTTCGCTCTGTGACTTGATTCTGTTTGATTTGATGACATTCATAAACCGTACGGTGACTTATCAATGGAAGTTTTCGTTAAGAGTATAAGCAGGGCTCACCTTTAACAGTCTGATGCCCGCCTGAGAGTCGAGCGTGCGACAAAACGGATCCTAAACAAGCCACACAGACGACTGACAGATGTGGCAACGGAGTGTTGTTTTGCCAAAGGGCTTATGTATCAGCGTAATGTGATATCTCACTAAGAGCAGAACATATCATGAACTCATCTATTCAGATAACCCGTACAGTAAATGAGGCATAGAGGTCTTGCATGATGACAACGAAATCCACGCGAATCAAACAAACGTTGACAGAATGTTGGAAGACGTCTATCCTTGTTTAACAATAATGATTCAATTGCATGATCAACATAGTAATCAATCATGGATCAGTCACTTTAATCTGTTGACATTGTAATGGATTGAATGACATAATAGGTATTGGCAGCGCGATTGCGTTACACAGTGGCACTAGCTAATATGGACTGAGAAGTAAGCATACGGACGGAGCCTTACATCGAGAAGTACTGCATACTAAACATAAAAGATGATTGAAAAATTGTTGCAGTGCTTTAGTGTTAATCGAATGAAAAATGTACTAATTGGTGCATGATGCCCCTTTGCAGTTGTTCAACAATCAGATTGACGGGTGAGTACTTCAAGTGAGACCTCAAACGTGGAACTGCACAGGACACCGCTTAACGTTGTCAAACGTGTTTGGCTGCACACAGTACAGGGGCTTTTATAGCAAAGCAGAACATTAGAGACAGTGTGATACGACCTCAAGGTGACACAGTCTCACACGGATCATTTTCCGATCCTGACAGCTAGTGTAGGGCCTCTCCGCGACAGAGACGGGACGGGTCACATTTTTGTGTAAGGAGTTTATAGAAATTCAACCGACTCCTCCCAGGTAGAAACTTGTTTATATTGAAGATAGTGCACCAACCTGCACCTTGTGACATGTTCATTTTGCTGAAAATTTCCCTTGCTTCATATATGTTAGTAGGAATGACTTGTTCCCAGTGCCTTTGGTAGAGGCGCTTAAAGAGTTTTTAAACTCAGGTTTGGCTTGTATTGATGCCTTTCAGCCTTTTCAAATCTAAGGCTAAACTAGACGATCAGCGATCGTTTACATGGGCTTCCTGTGGTTTATCCCAATCAGTAAATGATATTGTTGATTTCGAGTTGGATCTCGAGTTGGATCTCGAGTTGGATCTCAAGTTGGATTTCGAGTTGGATCTCGAGTTGGATTTCAAGGTTGGATTTTAGTTAAAATTGGTATATCTTCAATAATAATTGAGTCATGAGAGTCATTGAGAAAAACGAATTTTTCGCAATTGTTTGTTAGAAAACGTCACAACATGGTCTCATTCAAAGTTAATAATCTCAAAAATGAGCTTTAGTCACGACGTTGTTATTCACGTCCCAAAAGGAAGTTTAATTTAAAGCAAGTTTTAAATGTTAGTAATTACTAGTCATGTACTAGTCAATAGTGTACAAATTATTCCCTGAAAGAAGCCCTCCGTTAAGAGGTGATAAAAAAGTTTGAAACTATTCAGTTCTCCGTAGTGCCGATCACTAGTCTTAGTTAATTTTTTTTTTGAATACCGTGTTTTATAGAAAACTCAGAATCCTGCTAAAAATCCAACTCGAGATCCAACTCGAAATCCAACTCGAGATCCAACTCGAGATCCTAACTCGGCGTTTAGGTAACCTCCTAGTATGCGGTTTGCTTTTGATAAGCTTATGTTTGATAGATAATTCACGATCGGTAGATTCACGATAAATGCCCTTTTGAGAAAAGCTCGAATTTTTTTTAATGTGGCTATGCCGTGAATGGTGTGTGGATTTGTAAAAGAATCTAGCGTTCGACATGTTCGATCTTAAAACTTTGCCGGCTATACGAAGGTCCGAAGAAGCACGAGGCGACGTTTGAATCGTTGCTTAGAAACATGAATGACAGTAAGACAATAGATGTCAAAAATGAAAAGGTCCCGGATATAATTTGAAGCATACCACAGACGAAAAACGTCGGTAATTTAAGACATGGTCTTCCTTTGGAAGCCCATGTAATAA